ATTATTACAACTTTTGTGATTTACTTGTAAAAATTTATACTTGTATTAGAAGTAAAAATTATTTTTAGCCTTGTTTATATATAAAATCTAAAAAAATTTGACCAAAAATTTTATAGTAAAATTTTTCAAAACAAAACTTTAAAGATTTATTATTTAAAGTTTGATATTTTACTTAAAAAGTATATATTTAAAGTTAATATTTAAAGTTTTATTTAAAAATTACAAAAATTAAAAATGAACGTAAGCAAATTTACCTGTATTACAAATTAAGAGATAATTTTTCTTCTTTCTATATTATAAATAATCATTCAAGATTATTGTGTTATGTGAGAATCTTCTATTCTGCTTTAGTTCAGAAGACTTTCTAGAACCTTTTGTAGAAATTACTACTAAATTTTTTTAAATTCATACTTTTTCTAAAAAGAAGCTTTTTTCCATATTAAAGTATTGTTTCTACTATAGTATTCTAGTCTTTAGAGTCAGTGTTTTTGCTATTATTAGGAAGTTTATAAATTTTTGTAATCTAAGTAGTTCTATTTGAGTTCCCTTTATTATTTATCTTATCTTGCCTTTCAGGTTTTATGTTATATATTTTCTTTATTTTATCACTGATTCTCTTTATATTCATTGTAACTCTCTTTCTTTTTCTTGGCACAAGAGACTTTGCCCTTAGTAGGATTTTATTCATATTACTGAACTTGACTATTTGTAGTATTTTGACATTTTCTTGACACCTAGTATCAGAAGCAGAAAGCGTGTTGATTGTACTACACTACTTTAGATAATTAGGTAATGATATAGCTACAACTATCACACTACTTCAGGTAATTAGGTAATGATATAACAACAACTATTACACTACTTTGAATAGTTAGATATGATAACTACAGCTAATCCTAATATATTAGAATACAACAGCAAGAAGGGATATTCAATAATTTTAGAGAAAAAGGTAATTACAAGAATCAGATTTTATGTGTTAAGGATTTAACAAACTTATTTATTATTTAAGGTATTTATTATATGAGGAGAAATAAGATTATTATTTTTAATGATGCAAAGTTAGAAGATGTCTTCCCTCTATAGCCTTCATGGTCTTTATTTATACTTATTACAACATATAAACATATCTGGTTATTAATTTATTTTAACCCATTAATCTATTTAAACTACTTAATCAAATTTACTCTATTAATCTCTTTAATTTCATTAATCCGTTTAATGAGATTAATGAGATTAATTGATAGATCACCTAATTAAAGCGAATGATCTGCCCAACCGAGTTTTATCATTATCTGTGATATATGCAGTTTATACATATCACGTTTCCAGGTTCACACCATATCATATTAGTTTAATTATATGTACTTGTCGTATTAGTTCTTAATCTGGGTTATAATTATTGAGCGTGTTGTTGTTACATCAGTTGAAAGATTATGCATTAAGAAGTTATGCGTTCGAAATCTGAATTTGAAATGGTGTAATATAGGATATGTTCCAAATCTTGTGGTGGTAAAAGGGCGAGAAAAAAAAAACCATTCAAATGTTCAATGAAGGATTGTGGGCATTAAAGTTCTGTGATAAGGGTAAAAGCTAGAAAAAGGAAGTTGTTCAAAAGTGTTGATGTTAGTTTTGTATGATTCTTAAATATATTTAAACCATCACATTTTGCCTCAATAAAGTTTTCCCAGAATTCGTTTCTACAAAATAAACAATAATAAAGTTAATAGGCATTTCAAAGCCGAAGGCGACTTTACTATTAACTAAATTCTCAACACTCTTATACTTTTCTGCTTAACTTTCGCCCTGCATAATTAAATTGTTTTTAAAAGAACCAATCCTGGTTAGAACCAACTATAAATCTTCTTATAAACGCTTACTTACTCACCTCTGATTTAACCTTATAAATTCCCGCTATAAATTATTCGTTTACTTTGCCATCATCTGTTATATCTATATTCCGTCCAATACCTTTAACTCCGTCCCGTTAGTAACCCGAGATTGCTGTCCTGACTAAACTTGGCCCTAATTATAACTCTCTCTCCATTTCGACAGTAACTCCGGATTTATTTTTTTGATTATATTTATATCCGGATTGAAGAAATCGGTTAGGTTCTAACTCTAACTGGGGTATGATTAATTTATGGGGGACCCGACCTGGTCACGTTACGGGTTTCACAATATCATAAAAAACAAAAGCTTTCGTTCACCAACTGTAGCTTAGCCTTTTATCCTTGTTAGGACCTCGTCTTGTTTTGCTAGAGGTCTATCTTTCGCCAGTTTTGTCTAGAGATGCAGGCGAATTGTCCCAATGATGCCGTAACTATATCAAATAATTATAAAAAGTTACGGCAAATGTGCCGTAACTTTTTATAATTGTTTGATATAGTTACGGCATGTTACGGCAAAGTTACGGCATCATTGGGACAATTCGCCTGCATCTCTAGTTTTGTCTTTATCTGGGGTTTCGCCTTTCGTCTTTCGTCACTTTCATCTTTTCTGGATTTACAGTAGGTTTCGCCTAACAACTATACCATGAGGCGTGCCTTAAAACATTATGTCGCCTACCCTAGCTTGTTGACTTCAAAGCCAAAAAAAAAATAATTGGTTGGCCAACACAGATTTATTTATCTAAAAAAATAAAATAAACTATGCGAAAAAAAACATTATACATAACATTATTTGGTATATAAATTTTAAAACTCAATTAAAATACAAAAGTATAATGTAATAAAAACATTAAAATCCATTTAAACTTAAATTAGTTAAATAATTATGCTCAAAATTTTAATTTTCTATCTCAAGGTTTTTAAGCGTGCAATAAAAAAAAAATTTATTGCTTCTTTTATAATACTAATCAAAGAATTTTTCTCTTTTCATAAATTGTAAGGGAAATTGTACTAAATGACCATAAACTCTTGCAAGCTGTTCTGCCACTTCGTCAATTGCATGACTTGAACACATATGACCTGGATTTGATTTGGAAACAAATTCTTTACAAGCTTTCCAACTTAAAACTATAAAAATAATTTATTCATAATTAATAACATAATAAAAAACAAGAAAGTATACTGTATTTCAGAAGAATAATTACCATTATCATCCGGAATACAATGGAAAATATTTCTAAAAATTTTAGTATTATACTTAGCTTTATTAAGCCATAAATCTTTATAAAAGGAATCGCATATAGGATCTACCACCAAATGATCTTTATCGTCGGAAAGACCGATATGTTCCATGAAAAGTTTTTTTCGAAGTATGTAAGCAAAGTTACTTGCTTTCCACTAAAATTGTGAAATAAAAACTTTTTAACCTAATATAGAATTATTGTAAAATTTATACGAAAATTTTTATTACCAATTTGCCATTCATTTTAGAATCAATCATTTTAGTATCATCTATTATAGCAGCAATTTCAGAATCACAATCACCAGTCATCGATCTATCATTCAAATTTGCTAAATACAATTAACATAAAAAATTTATTATTTTGAGTGTGCAAAATTTGAGTTTATTAAACAGTAAGTAAAAAGATTACTCACCTGAACCACAAATTACTCTTCTGTCATCAACAATCATAATGTTAGAATGAACGTACACCTGCTCAGCGACAATATCTTTAGCAGAGATGTCTTTAAAATCCTTTGAATTGAATAAATCTTGTTTATTTTTTCCAATAATACCCCAATTACGAAGTCCATAAAATGTAATATAGTCTTCTGGTAACTTTTTCTTTTCTTTGCAAATTTCTGAAATAGTGCTCATCAAACCTCGGATAGATTGATATTGATAGCGGACAATTTGACTTTGTACATGTCAGATTTTTTAAAAAATTCATAGGGATTTTAAAAAAAAATAAAATAAAATTGCTTTATAACTTACCATAATTGTAGGTTATTTGAATCTAGATCACCTGAAATTTCTGGGAGTAAAGATAATATTATAATTATTCTAAATCGACTATCTTCATTTTCTTCTTCAATTGCTCTTTTAATGCGAGCAGCGATAGCCTAAACATTATTTATAATCTCATTACATTTAATTAAAATTAATTATACTTTATTGGGCTTGAATTTACCTCACCGATCAGGTTTTTAGAATGTTTTTCATGTCTATTTTTAGTAGATGTAACTGAAAAAAAAATAACAAGGTTTATGAGTAAACTCTCTGGGCAAACGAAGCATCAGTAAAACTTGATTAAAATATGTACGAAAAAATTGATTTTCAATATAAATGAAATGTTCAGCTTTATCAATCATATCAATATAGGCATTTTGTATAGATTTCTATTAAAGTATTGGTTTAGTAATAGATTATTTAACAATCGATTTTAATTTACGTATCTAACAATATTCAATATATTTAAAATCACCTCAGGGTCAATGGCATTGCTCCAATTTCCGCAGCTTCGAAGAATTTGGACAGTACAAGTACCATTATTATTAAAGTTAATCGTATTTTCAGAAATCTGCCTCGGAGAACTGTGAATTCCTGGAGTGAAAATATTAATCTGTTTTCCTTTAATTAATTCCCATCGCTGATTAAAATGTGAGACGAGATCCAGCACACATTTTCCTTTCTGCAAAATTTTACTGTGTAAGAACGCACTAGCCTTAAAGTCTTAACATGCAAAAGTATAATTAAAGAACGTACCAAAGAAACAGAAATATCATGCCATGGCATCCTTGCGTCTTTTGATTTTTTGATCAAAGATTCTTTCCATACATGCACTAAAAATTTTTCCAGACGACCCGTTAAAAATAAAAAATAATGACATTTCAACTAAATAACTATGATGGGGTCTATATTATTTCTCTTAACAGACATAGAGATCAACCCTCTGATTTATATATACAACCAATTCATAGGACCTTATAGCTCATTTCACAGACAAGTTCATTTCTTGCTAAATTTAGTTATAAACCAAATCTTCTAATCATAAGTCTTAATTCTAATGATAATAAACTGTTTGTGAAACGAACTGTCTCTTAAATAACTTATCTACGAATTGGTTGTCTGTAAAACAAACTTTCGGTGAGTTGATTGTTCACCGGTTGCCGCCGCTCACTTCACAGACATATATAAAAATTTATCATACCAAATTCAAGATCTTTAATTCTGGGATTGGAATAATCCTTTCCAGGCCAAATTTCATTACTCTCAGAAGTATTAGAAGCTTCGGTAAGAATATGTTCTTTAGTATCATAACGACCAAAGCACAAATCTATACCACCGATAAATCCTTCGTATTGATCAATAATAACAATTTTCTGGAATGATAAACAAGTTATTTCCTTTCTTAAATGACTTTTAATTTTTAAAGAAAAACTTTTACGTACCTCATTATGCTATCGATAAATCAAAGTTTTAATTTATATTTCCAACGAATCATTGTTAACATTTAATAAAAGCATAAATACTTACATACCAAGCCAAGTTCATGCAGTCAACATTAGGAATTTGCAAGTCGAAAACATCAATCAAATTATCGAAAGCAACTGACATAAAGGTACCAGAAGAGTGTCTCAAGACTATTTGAATAAAAACGTTCAAATTATTTCGATTATTATAACTTAAAGATAGTCTACATCATTTTATTATAGTCACCAAAAATATTATCATGTTGCAACATGTCTTCACTATGTTGAGAATCTATTTTAAAATATTCTGGTTGCTCTCGATGAAGTATAATGAAAATCTTGATTCCATCATCAGCTTTTTTCTTGAGAAGAGAGTGAAGACGAAGACTTTCGTCATTTTTATCGCAAGGTCTCAAAAGATACTATGTAAATTTCAAAAATTATTTTATATAAAAATCAAGATACAACATTTAATAAAAATATATGAATTGAGGATAAAATTTACAAGTTCAGGAGAAAGCCACCATCCCATAATCAAGACTTCTTTATTGGCCGCATTGATAGCTTTTTCTATGGCTTGAAAGTAATCATGACCATCAATGTAAGCTTGCACTTCAACATTTTTGTTAACACTGGCAAAAGATCCATATTTATCTAAAATACAATTTGATTCTACTGTATTTCCTTCCATTCATATGACGATATTTTAGTGGTAAATAAGATTTTATTATTCCGTTTAATTCATTTTTGTATGTAAATCATTCACTTGTGCTTCAAATTATTGTTACGAATACATATTCTGTGAAACTAAAAATTCGATAATTTGTTACGAATAATATTTATGACACCTTTGTACGATCTTGTAAGTTGTGATTTTAAATACAAAATTATTTAATATATCCAGATGCCGATTATAATAACCAAAGGTATTTTCATATTAAGTATGCTTTCAATAGTCTATACTAGACAGTTATACGATTTTTTTCAATTTTTTTAAATCAATATAACTTTTCACACAAGAAAAAAAATAATTTTAAGTAACTTTGTAGAGTTATATGAGCTCTATATACGACAGGCCAAATATCTTTTTTAATACCTTGCCTGTGTAATGAGAAATTGCGATTTAAAGGTTCATATGAATTTATGAATTTATATATTTATTGGCTTTAAAACACTTCAACTCGTCGTAGAGACAAAATTTTAAAAATTTGACCTATAACCTTGTTTTAAATCATAAGTCAGATTTTTGTAATTTTGCCTCTACGACGAGTTGAAACATTTTAAAGCCAGAACATATATAAATTTTTTTTTTTAAAAAAAAAATTAGACTATTTGTGAGAATCGGCTTTAGAAATTATATCAATGTCAAATCAATTAATCAAAGAGTAGGCACTAATATTTAATCATCGAATGTTATAAGTAACGAAAACTTTTTTTTAAAAATTAAATTAATTAAATTAATTAAATTATGCAAATTAAATCATTATATTCGACTAAAGATAAACTACTGTATTGGCTCTATGCTTCTTGTGCTTACGGACACATTTAATGGTAAAATTCGAGTTAAAGTAATGGCAAGCGGATTTTGTAGTGTTGGTCAGTGTAATGTCTTCCGTAGCTTTTGCCGTGGATATTCGACGAATTTTTTTTCAATCCACAGATTTTTCTAATAAATTACTCACTGAATTCTAATGAAATCTGATGAATCAAAATTTATCCAATGACTTACTATGATCAGTTTATAAAATAAACAATTGTAACATGTTGCCATCTTAAAAAACTCATTTGAGTTTTATTCTAAATATTGATTTACAAATAAATGATGCTACAAGTTGAATAAAATAATTTTATCGGAGGACTTTCAAATTAAACTTTTAC